TTTATTTTTCATAAATTTAGTCAGCAATACATACCTGTCTCTTATACACATCTTACTAATATATAGAAGGTCACTACGAAGGGCGACTTGGTTTGTGTAAAATCAAACGTCAGTTATGTGAAGGCTTCTCACAAAGCATTATTCCTATAATTTCTTTTTAAGAACATAGCTAATATGGAATGGGCATAATAAAAATATGCAAAGAGACAAGTATATATAACTCCTTTATTTAGAATTCAAAATCATCAGTATCTATGACTCTATGACTCTAGATTCTTATGTCGATTTATGTGGCAGGCTCAGATACAATTCGGAAAGAGTATAACCTTTCAAATTAAATTTAATATCCGGAAGTAGATAAAAAAATCTAAAAAAGCTAAATACTTTTAAAGCTTCGTTAGAAAATTTAATTTTTTGTAACATTACATGGACAACCCTTTTGAAAGGATAACTCTGAGCTGTTATATTTATGCGTTCTCATTTTATCTTATGAAACACCACCCTTCGTGTGGAGAATTTGGAGCATGAGTATTTGTTTTAATAATATTTGCATGTTATGTTCTTAAATACTTAGATGTGCTGAATTATGCAGATTAGTATGCAAATGTAAGTATGTATGTGTGAAATACCCACGAAAGTTTAATATTTAACTTAAAATGTTTCCTTTGTTTGTTTATCGCAATTAACTTCATTAGCTTTTTGTTTGCAAACACAGATTTACGTATGAACAATTACCCAGCCGTAAATTGTATAGGTTAACATACATAAATATGAATTGAAACAATAAAACTCTCAGGTATCAGGAATAGGAGTTTAAAATAATAAGTTTTGAGATTTTCACCACATTTTCTTTCAAGAATGAAGACGCCGACGTTGTAGGGGTATGCTGCAAGACAAACTATAAAAAGCATTATAATATATATGATTTATGTATTTTACTGAAACTGAGCAAGATTGCAGCCATCTTCAAAATTTTAAGACTTCGATTCTATGGATTCGTTATCGACTTGTTTCACCAGCGTTTATCAGTTTATCGTTTTAAAATTTTCTTCTTTAATTATACGCTAGCAACAAAGTTGCTAAAGAGAGTATTATAGTTTTGTTCACATAACGGTTGTTTGTAAGTCCTAAAACTAAAAGAGTCAGATATAGGGTTATATA